CCCATCCCCAACACAGCACTGAAAATCCTCTACTCGGAGGCAGCTGCCTCGTCGCACCTTGGCGCTGTTTCTGAGTCCACTAATACCGCACATTTGCATTCCTCCTCTTTGCCAGAATTCTTAGATTACCAGGAGAATAAAGAGAGCCGAGTTACACGTCTACGGATCCACCTAGATTTGGATGTCAAGACGTTGGTGCCAAATATTTTGACTGCAGAGGCAACGGAAAGCACTTTTCTTAAAGGTTGCTTTCTGTTGCAGTAGTCGGTGAGTCATTAGGAGTTGAAACACACTCTCCGCCCCACCCCACCTGGGTGTATGTGTGCTTAAATCATGACAATGTGCTATAAATATTTCAAGTCGAAATTGTTGGGGGAAATTTAAGCAATCAAAGCAACCCAGGGCATTAGAATTCAGCTCAGGGACTGGGATGCCGCCAGAGTCCGCTGGAAGTAAGAGCTTCTTGAACAATAAAACTGAGCTGTGTAAAAGCACAGCAGGAGGAATGGGTGGGATGCTTCAGACATGATCAAGGGAAGTCAAGGAACTGCTCTGTTCTGCCTTGGTCGGACCACACCTGGAGTCCTGTGTCCAGTTCTGGGCACCGCAATTTAAGAAGGATATTGACAAGCTGGAAGGTGTGCAGAGGAGTTTGACCAAAATGATCAAGGGGCTGAGGCCATATGAGGAACAGCTGAGGGATCTAGGTATGTTTAGCCTGGATAAGAGGAGACTTGAGAGATGAGAGCCACCTTCAAATATCACATAGAACAGTGATGGCCAAACTTGGCCCTCCAGCTGTTTTGGGACTACAATTCCCATCATCCCTGACCACCAGTCCTGTTAGCTAGGGATGATGGGAGTTGTAGTCCAAAAACATCTGGAGGGCCAAGTTTGGCAATCACTGACATAGAAGATGGAGCAACCTTGTTTTCTCCTGCGCTAGAGGCTAGGACTCCAACCAATGGCTTCAAGTTACAAAAAAAAAGGAGATTCCATCAGGAAAAACTTTCTGACAGTAAGAGCTGTCTGACAGTAGAACAATCTCACTTGGAAGGTGGTGGGCTCTCCTTCCTTGGAGGTTTTTAAGCAGAGGTTGGATGGACATCTGTCATGGATGCTTTAGTGGAGATTCCTGCATTGCAAGGGGTTGGACTAGATGTCACTCGGGGTCCCTTCCAACTCCACAATTTTACAATCCTAGGACCAGTATCCCGCTATCCCTCTGTGTCTGTAGGCAATATGGGACAGCAGAGGTCATTTTTTACCCCATTAGATTAATACTGAGGGTGGGGGGAGAACCCCAATCATAAATATCAACAGATTCTGTGGGGTGAGGGTTTTTGTTCTTTGCTCAAGGTGATTTTCATTTGCAGAATGAAAACTGGTAATGGCAAGAAGAAGAGGAGGAAGAGTTTGGATTTGATACCCCGCTTTATCACTACCCGAAGGAGTCTCAAAGCGGCTAACACTCTCCTTTCCCTTCCTCCCCCACAAGAAACACTCTGTGAGGTGAGTGGGGCTGAGAGACTTCAGAGAAGTGTGACTAGTCCAAGGACTAGTCCAGCAGCTGCATGTGGAGGAGCGGAGACGCGAACCCGATTCACCAGATTACAAGACTACCGCTCTTAACCACTACACCACACTGGCTGAAATTTGGGGACAGGAGACAATAAATTAGGAGACCCACATTGCACACCCATTTCTGTGCTAAATATATTTCAACCCACCTTCTTGGAAGCTGCCAAGTATAAAGGCAGCCTTGTACCTGCACTTTACCTTTTGCCAAACACTCCTCAACGGCTTCATACCTGTAACCATTTCTCCATCTCCCAAACATCAAGACCCGCCTCCCTCAACCTGGCACCTTTGAACTACAGCTCCCATCACGCCCAGACCCAGAACCTCCCAAGATCCCCAGGTTGGTGCAGGCTGATCAAGAGCGATGAAGACTGAAAGTTGCTCTTTTGGACTTCAGTGCTTGGTAACTCTTGACATCTGATCTTGCTCCTAAGATGGTGGGTCATTCTTCCCTAGATTAGCATCAGGAAGAGATTAAACTTGCACCTTCTAAAGAGCTTACTGGTTGACGCTGCTTCTTCCCTGAAACTGTGTCTGAGTCCTCAACCTTCAGAGCGCCATGGGATTATTCCACCAGACTAGACAAAGCTGATTATTCTTCACATTAGCGCCAGATCCTCCTCTATACTCTGCTGTCGTTTACTTACAAACAGATACACACTTCCTTATCTACGCTTCAGATTCAAGGAATGAAACCCTCTCTTCAAAACTGGGCTGGGGATCCTGTGGCCCTTGAGATATTGCTGGACTGCAACTCCCATCATCCCCAGAGCCTTTGGACATACTGGCTGCAGAGGCTCATGGGAGCTGCAGTCTTGCAACACCCGGAGGTCCACAAATGCCCCACCTCAGATTTAAAAGAAATCCAAACCAACGGCCTCTGCACATGGATTCCTAAGCAAGGAAACAAAACAAGCAAACAAACAGGTAGCAAACTAGTATTGAGCGCAAGTCAACCTGCAAATGCAAACCTGAGAGAAAATCTATACAGCTTTCTGTAGCGTGCTGCGGATATTTTGCCTAATTTTTAAAGCATTTGTGTGTGCTTATATGGCAGGCGGAGGCACACGACTCTTCCTTTTTTTTTTAGGTGAGCATTTTGACTGCACAGGAAAAACGCAGGCGCATCGAAGCAACACCGCTTGTGTTATTGGGTTGGTCCCTGCAAACGCAGCCGCTTGAGGTCCAGTTCAGACTTCACGTGAGAAGTCAGCACTGTGACGTATCAAATGGAGACACCGGTTTGCAAACACTGTGTTGGGAGAGGCACGCAACAAGGGTTCTCTAAGGAGCTTTGATCTTTCGCAGCTCCCTGTCGCAGCACCCTCCTGTGTTTACAAGCTGGCGACAACGTTGTACGCAGAGACCTACTTCCGACGCAAAGTGTGCATTGCCCAGGTGTGTCCTTAAGGAGAATATAAATAGCCTCTTGCACAGCTATTAGGATTAGTCCTCAATAGGAAAAAGAAGAAGTGCTCTTCCCTTTGGCTGCCTGAGAATGTGGGAGAAAAGCCCCAAGGACAGTCGCAGGGACACTTGCATTGGGAAAAAAGAAAGCATTTCCTTGTCAGAAGAAGTGTACAGAAGAAGAAGAAGAGTTTGGACTTGATATCCCACTTTATCACTACCCGAAGGAGTCTCAAAGCGGCCAACATTCTCCTTTCCCTTCCTCCCCCACAACAAACACTCTGTGAGGTGAGTGAGGCTGAGAGACTTCAGAGAAGTGTGACTAGTCCAAGGACTAGTCCAGCAGCTGCATGTGGAGGAGCAGTGATGCGAACCCAGTTCACCAGATTACGAGTCCACTGCTCTTAACCTCTACACCACACTGGCTCTCTTCCCACAGCTGCCATACCTATTTCACTTGATGCATTGACACGAAATACATGTTTGCACAATTACCACGTCTACACATGACTGTGTGTGTGTGGTTTGTCCAGTGTGAAAGTGCTTTATATGTAGCAAAATGTGCGAGAGGCTGCATTTGGAAATGTGGATTTCACGAACTGTGTTTGTGCGGTGTATACATGCAGAGCAGGAGAGGGGGCTTAGGTGCCTACAACTGGGAAATTGGGTGACTGTGGGCAGGTTGAGATGGCAGAACAGTCTCTGCTCATTCTTGACTTCCTGGTTTAACCAGCAACATCTTTGCAGAATGATTCTTGGGTGCAGAGCTGTTCGACAGTGGAACGGTCTCCCTCGGGAGGTGGTGGACTCTCCTTCCTTGGAGCTTTCTAAGCAGAGGTTAGATGGCCATCTGTCATGGATACTTGTTCCAAGTACAATTCAAAGTGTTGGTGCTGACCTTTAAAGCCCTAAAAGGCCTCGGTCCAATATACCTGAAGCAGCGTCTCCACCCCCATCATTCAGCCCAGACACTGAGGTCCAGCGCCGAGGGCCTTCTGGCGGTTCCCTCATTGTAAGAAGTGAGGTTACAGGGAACCAGGCAGAGGGCCTTCTTGGTAGTGGCGCCTGCCCTGTGGAACGCCCTCCCATCAGATTTCAAGGCAATAAGCAGCTATCTTATCTTTAAAAGACATCTGAAGGCAGCCCTGTTTGGGGAAGTTTTTAATTGATGCTGTATCGTTTTTAACACTCGATTAGTAGTTGCCCCGAGTGGCTGGGGAAACTCAGCCAGATGGGCGGGGTATAAATAATAAATTATATTATATATATATATTCTATTATAACTTAGTCATTGTGGTTAGTATCCACTGAATAGTCTCGTCCTTTGCCCAATCCTCTTTTAAAGCCACCCAAAATTGTGGCCATCACTACTTCCCAAAGCAGCGAGTTCCACAGTTTAACTATGAATTGTGTGAAGAAATGTTTTCTTTTATCTGTCGTGAATCTTCCAACATTCACCTTCTACGCTTGGGCCCAGGGTTCTCCTCTTTCTCTACACGAGACATAATTTCAGACAACTCTATCAAATCTCTTCTTGTTTTCCTTTTCTACAAAGTAGAACGCCCCAAACAGGTTACATGGCGAACAGTTAAGAGAAATTACCAACAGCTACGAGAATAAAGTTGTCATTCAGATACGCAACTGAAAACGTATTCTCGAAATTGGGGGTGCGCGGAATGATTCCCATGCAGTTAAATCTGTGGTTAGTTTTTAGCCATTCCCAGCAATGTTGTTACTCGTCCCTTGAGCACAGCATGCATTGCCTCTCAAAATGCTGTCACGCGGCACACACTTCTCCCGAGACCTCCCCTGTCAGGCTAAGTGCCAACCATCAAAATCACCAACACGGACATGCCCAGAGGCGTTCAGTTGACAGGACGAATTAAAATGGTGTTACACAAGTAAATGAAGGATGGTAAAAATAAAAGCCAAAATGTTGCATTCCAATGATTGATCACCCGACGGAGGCGGTTTTGGACGATCTTACAAAACACACGTTGACAGTACTCTACCTGCTGCCTTTGGTAAGCGGAGAATGTCCTCTCAAGGTCTTCGAGATCCAGCACCTTGAACACCTTTGCGTCATCAATGCCGGCCCATACGGTGCCTTCCAGCTTGTTCTGGGAAGAAGGGAAGAGGCACCACTTATCCCACACAAGCTGCCATTTTGTAAACTGAAACCATACGCTATAAACTTATGGACTATGCAGAAGTGGCGATACTTACTGGAAGAATAAGAAATCAAGATACCAAACTTTTTATAAAAGAAGGGAAATGGTTTATTGAATATTTACGGACAAACTGTAAACAGATAAAAACACTGGCAGGATTATTGTAATAACCTGCAGCTACATAAGAGTAAATATTTAAAGAAGATAAATAAATGAGTAAGTTAAGCTAATTTGGATATGCAGAAGATGTTAAAAATAAATTTAAGGAACCGCAGAAAGAGGGGGAAGGACGCCAAGTTTTAAAATGTCAAAATGATGGTAAAATCAATGAAATCTATATATCTGAAAAGTATAAATATTTTATATTTTTTTTAAAAAAGAAACCATATGCTATGGGAACAGAGTCCCTTGTCAAGGTCCCCCTTGCCTTAACACACAAATTTGGGTGGATTTGCCAGAGAGGGATAAAATGTCAAGTGACCTTTCTCTCTCTCTCCAGAATAGTCCATTTAGTCCAGAATTCTGCTTCAAGCAGAAGATAGCAGGATGTCATAGGGAAGATGGTGACCCCAAAGCCCTTCTAGTCCAGCATCCTATTCTCACAATGGCTGCCAAGATCCCTGTGGGAAGCCTGCAAGATGGACCACAGCTTCCACCAGCCCCAACCAACATGGCCATGCTTGGCTAGGGCCGACCGAAACACCTGGAGGCCAGCAGCCAAACGACAAGTTGACGATGGCAATTCTATTACACAGAGGAGGACCACACAGCCAGAAGCACTGATTCACACACCATGGAAGAGGCTCCTTACCTCAGGCAGCTTGGACCAGTTGAAGGACTTGAGAGCGTTTGTGGGCTGCGGGATGTTTTTCCTCTTGAGCGCTGATCCCAAGGGTGCTCCCGGAGCTGGGGTGAGGCCGCCAAGCGGAGGCGGCCCTGGTGGAGGAGGCGGTCCACCGGGAGGCGGTGGCGGCGGAGGCGGTGGTGGGAGGACCCCGCCAGGAGGTGGTGGTGGCGGAGGGACCGGGAGAAGAGAACCTATGGAAGCTGTTGGTAAGGGCCCCCCAGGAGCACCCGGAGGCAGAGGGGGCCCCCCTGGGACAGGAGCGCATATTGCTCTCTGGAAGAAAAAGAGGGGAGAGAGAACATACGGTCACTGCAAGGAACCTGAAAAATATACAGTCATACCTCGGGTTACAGATGCTTCCCGTTGCATTTTTTCGGGTTACGCACCCGCCGAAACCCGGAAGTACCGGAATGGGTTACTTCCAGGTTTTGGGGGTAGCGCATGCGCAGAAATGCTAACTCATGCTTTGTGCATGCGCAGAAGGGCTGAATCGCAACCCGAGCGTGTGCAGACGTGCTGCTGCGGGTTGTGAACGTGCATCCCGCACGGATCACATTCGCAATCTGAGTGTCCACTGTATAAGGTAGTTAGATGGCATTCAGCCTACCAGTGATGGATCCAAAACACAAATCACCACGAAAATTGAAAATGAGGAGGAGAAGCAAGGTTTGACGTAGAGAAAGTGAGGAATCTCCACCTGGCATTTGGGATGATGTGAGGGATAGCAGCAACAGGGAAAGGAAAGTGGGGAAGAGGTTCCTCCAGCCCAAGGGTGAAGAAGCTATGGTTCTCTAGATGTTGTTGGATTACAATTCCCATCATCCTTGATCATGCCGGTAGGAGCTGATGGGAACTGACAATCCTGCAGAATCTGGAAGGCACTCTGTTGGCTACCCTTGCCCTAGCTTAGCTCCTTCCCCCATAATGTCTAATTTATCCCAAAATTGCAAGGAGTGCAGAAAACTGGTTCAGAAAATCATGCTGGGGCTGTCCAGGATGCTGTGAGAAAACTCTTCTGTTTTAATAGATGACACTTGGGATTGATGGCACAGCACCTGGGATTGATGGCACAGCACCCACAGGCAAACTTGGGTCCCAGAACCTTGGCTGACTGCTGGTGTGAGCCTGTCTTCACTGAAGTCAAGAGGCAAGGGTCCATGCTATAGGAAGTCTCCTTCACCACTGGGATCCCATAGCAAAATAATGCAGTGCTCCACAATCAGTTGATATTCCTGAAATACTGGATGCCCAACGGCACCAAGGAATTACCACCTTCTCCTTCACAGAAGTGTTCAACTTTGGGCCCCTAGATGTTGTTGGACTACAACTCCCATCATCCCCAGGCAGCTTAGCCAATGCTAAGGGTTGGCGAGAGTTGTCAGCATCTGAGGACTCAAGGTTGAAGAACGCTGCAAAGCTTAGAGCAGCTTATATTGTGCTCTTTGTTGACTCTCATCAAAAGTTATGCTTATCTTCAGCAACTCTACAGAACTGGGTGATCCCGGACTATTCAAGGTAGTGCCGCCATCTTAAATTCTCCTCTGAGAAAGCTGGAGTCTCACTCAGGCAAAGATATGAGCACCTGACTTTGGCCTCTTTCTCCTCTCAGTGACGAGAAAGGTCTTTGACCTTTCTGTATCAAGTTCTGTAGCTGAACCTTTTCTTTCATAAAACCAGTCTTATAGGTTCAGGGGGTCAGTTTAGATAATGTCCACAGGTGGTCCTGTATCTGTGAGGTTAGCATTTACAAGAGGAAACATGCTAAACCAGTCAAACCAGTTTCTTTGTTAAGGTAATGCCTGTAGCCGCTCACCTACCCACCACCGACATCTTAAAGAGTGAGCTCTGTTGCCATAGAGACAAATGGGTGGGTCTCTTCCCCTCTCACCTGGCTAGATGCCAGGACATCCTAGGATGGGGAACAATAGGTGAAGGGATCTGCGCATCTATGAGTTGGGCTGATGCTGGAGACACAGAGGCTTGCAATGCTCTGTCCTGGACCCAAATTTCCCTGGAAACCTAACGGGGAGGCAAGATCTGCTGGTGTGTTAATGCAGTGAACCCCTCCCTCCTACGCTCAGGTTGTGTATATGTGTAAATGAAACCATATACCCTAAAGACACCACAGTCTCCATTGACCTTCGGTCCAAGGAAACTGAACCCAGGGGAAACATGGGAACCTCTGGAGTGTCTTGCTGCTCGGAGACCGGGATTGTGTGTGACACTAGCTAATGGTGAGATCTGGCCCAATCCCACATTAGACGGCCTCACCCTGCTCAGTTCGTGGATCTGTGCCGTGAGGTCTGCCACTTGCTGCTTGACTTGTTTATGCTCCGACAGTTCTTTTTCCAGCTTCTCCTTCATCTTATTCAAGGTCTGCATCATCTCCTCCTTCTCCTGGGTCTTGACGTCACATTCCCGCTCTTTCTTTTCCAGCTTCTGCTGGAGCTCGTGATGTTCTTTGTGATAAGAAAAAGGGACGGGAGATTAAACTGTTTGAAAGGCCAGTATTGTCAACACTGGCTGGCAGCAGCTTTCCAGGGCTTCAGAGAGGGGGCATTCCTAGCCACCTTCTGCAATCCAGAGCTGATGTTCTGCCACTGAGCCACATCCCCTCTTCAAGCTTCTGATTTCCTGCTGCTCCTGCTCCCGATTCTTTGAATTTGCTCCTTTCTTGATAAGGATTACCTCAGGAAGTTGTGAACTCTGGTTCCTCCCACCCACAAAAAGCCCACGTCTCCCTCCGAGAAATGCTCAAGGAAGGTGAAACTGTTTGTCTGTGTAGCAGATGTCTGGATTATGGCCAAAGGGAATAAACTTGTGTCAACTAACCAATTGCCTCCAACGCCACACTATAGAGGTTCTAACTTCTGTGCTCCTCAACCCCAATGTTTATAGACCAGCTCCACACGACCCTCAAAGCTCAGGCTTACTACTTAACCTGTTCTAACTCCTGTCCACATGGCTAGGAGGAGACTGGGCCTCCCGCCTCCATTATGTCACTTCCTCTCACGACCATAATATGCAACGATTCGCCTTAACCAGAGTGAGGCCACAGCTGCATCTAGCTTAGATCCCCAACTGAGGTTGGCTCTCCAAAACTTCAAGCATATTTTTTTCTCCCACCTGAGTCCTAGCTGCCCAAGATCCTTTGAACATGGCGCCTTAAGCAAACCACTCCACTATTTCCCCCTGTGGTCCTTTCTCCTACATATGGTATGCTTCACCAAAGGCCTGGTTGTCATGGTAACCCTTCATGGATGGATGGGGAACGCAAGGCCCTGCTGCTGGACTCCAGCACCCATCAGCCCCAGTCAGCATCACCAGCAGCCTTGTAAGATGGGAGCTGGAATCCACCTACACCTCAGAAGGCCACTCCTTCCTCATCCTTGATCTGCTTTACCATACACCTATCCTTCTGGTTTAGGCCGGAATGTTTATTTTTCATCAGTCACCTTTTCTCATCTTTTCCGCTTGTTCTTTCCATTGCTTCACTTCATTTTCATTAACCAGCCTGGAAAGAAAACAAACCATGACAACAATAAGCACCACATACAATAGGAAACGAGGATTAGCCTGAGGTTTTCACCCATATGCATTTGCTCAATTTGTCCATTTCCCTCCCACAAGAACTTCTACAATGGCAATGTTTTGCTTCTGGGTCGCTAGGCCTAAGGTTGGGCTCACTCGGTATTGCCAGGTTATTTTCCAGGAGCATTTAAGACGGCCTTTCTCAACCTGTGGGTCCCCAGATGTTGCTGGACTACAACTCCCATCACCCCTAGCTAGCATGACCAGTGGTCAGGGATGGTGGGAGTTGTAGTCCAACAACATCTGGGGACCCACAGGTTGAGAACCACTGATTTAAAAGATTAGGAGGAAATCTAGACACTTTCTAGACACTGTCTGAACCACTACAATGCTATGAATCTTTACCAACACCACTCCTTATGGTAGGGTTGCCATATGTCTAGATTTTCCTGGACATTACCAGGATTTCAAAGGCAGAATTGAGGTCCGGGGGGGATTTCTGAAATCAATCCTGGATCAATCGAAAAATCGTATTTTTGCAAAAGCTTAACGATTTTGGTGTTTTCCTAAAGAAAGCTCCACAACTTTCAGGGTGTCCTGGTTTTTACTTTCTGAAATATGGCAACCCTACCTTATGGGATGAGGTTATCAGCCATGAAATGTTGGCAAACGAAAGCAGACTCTTGATAGGGAAGAACGGTGTTTGAAAACCTTTCAAGGCGGCCATTCTCTTACAGGATTAGAAACAGGTTATGCTAAATGGATGAAGCGAGCTGGGAGAATGAAAAATAGGAATTGCCTTTTCTGAATGTAACAAGGGCCATGGGAAGTATCAATGCATGGATAACTTCTGGAATTAACTGCTCAAAAAGGCGATCAGAAGACCAACCTGTCCCATCCATGTGAGGATTTCCACAAATTTGGGGAAAACCTTAGAACAGATTTATGGGGTGCATAGGGGGAGAATATTCTGTCGCTCAGACAGAAATCCATGCAGGGGAAAACATCCATTTAGCTCTGTGCTAGAGTCCGCTCCAGATAAATTCATGGTTGGTCTATCACCTATGATGGCTAAAAATGGACTTTCCATGGTTCAGAACAGTAGTGGAAAGTGGTAGGGCAGGAAACAGGGAGTCCAACAGCAGGTGGCGCTAGAGGCAATGGCAGGCATGGACAACCAATGCTAGTTTTGCCTCCATCGGCCTCCCTGCAGAGGTTACAAGGGCAATACTGAGACCAAGGAAGAGGAAGTTGACAGGTAGTGGCCTCCACCCCTCAACTGGTTGTAAGCCAGAAGGCAAGAAGAAGCTTCTACTGATCCAGAGGTTGCATGCCATTTATTGCTGGTTGGTCAGGGGCAACAGTGTGGAGAGGTCTGTATTACTGACTTCATGTACAACATATGGGCATCCTGGAGCCATCTTGTTGGCAGCTATGGAGAACAGGTCTAGATGGACTTTTTGGACCCAACTCAGCAGGACTCTTCTTACCTCCTTAATTTTATACCACAGAGTCCCATGCTCTCGAAACACAGTTTGTACAGGCAGGGACCGATTTTTGCAGAGGTTACATTCCGGATCCTGCAGAAGGCCACCCCATTCCACCCCTGCTCATTTTGGTGGCATTTTTGGGTCACTTCCAGGTTTGGTCTGGTGTGTGCATGCGTGGTCATACACATTTCAGACAAGCATAAATTGGTCGCTGCCTGTATTTGTGATCACGGGGAACATATGTTCACAGTTATCCGGGGGAAACACAAAGGATTAAAACTGAATGCCTCGCCCCCAACTGAAGACGGAGGAAGGAGAAAAACCCATCCCTGTTTTAGACTTATGTAGTCCATGCAATCATGATTGGATGGGATCTCTAAAGATCATCCAGCTCAATGCAGGAAACCCAACTTGGAAGCACGTGCCTTTTTTAAAAAAAAGATGTTCGAAAGCAAAACACACACCAAATACAGAATAAAACCAGGAAAGAAAGAGCGAAAGAAAGTCTCCTAATTTAGCATTTGGCTCAGAAGGAGGGAGGAAGAGGGTCTTACATTCGAACAACGTTCTTAATATTAAAGTTCTCCAGGGGTGTTGAGTCTGGGTCCTGCCCTTTGTCGTTCTGAATAACTATTTGTTGTATGATGCGGTCAAGCAGCAACCAATAATGGACCGTGTTGCCATTTCTCTTATCTAAAGGAGGCGGAGGAGAGATAGAGATTAACAGAGACTTTCACACGGGAGAATGCATGCTAGACCCCCACAGCAGAGACCCAGCGGTTTTTGCTGAAATTCCTGCTGCTTCCACATTTCAAACGCAAAACCATTCCAAGACTGTAGAGGCAGCTATGCAAAACATTTAAGGAAGCAGCTCTCAAGGGACCTCTTTTGGCAAGGACGGAGGGGCCTTGGGAGAGTTTGGCATCTTTCAAAATGCTTCTGCAATTAAGGCAGATGCTTGCATACAAATGTGGATCTGGGCAACCCTTAAATTCAGGTGAGCTGTGGAGAGAAAGATGGTTTGTTGGGGTGTTTGTATCTGTGGATGAAAAGTAGCAAGTGACCTCGTGGAAACACACGGGATTTAAATAAATAAAAATAAAAATATTTAAGAGTCTATGGGATTACCCCAGCACACAACTTTTGAATCAAGTATCAGGGAAGTAAATCACACAAGAAGCTGAGCTAGATATGGGACTTCTAGGAAAACTCAGGCAAATCCAGAGCAATTGGATGTAATTGAGAAAATCTTCCGTGCAGATGACTGCAATGACAGCAGAGCTTGATTGAACGTAGTTCCTGGATGATCCAGGGGGGTTGTGTAAAAATAAGCAAAAGCCCAAAATCCATTGTTTATGAAATTTGTTGCTGTTGTTTGGGATAGCAGCTGTGTTGTTCGAGGGAAGAGGAATGGCACACAATCAATTTAAGCTACCTCTTATGTTGTCAGAGAACTCAGCGGCTTCCATTGTGTTCCCATGAGCGGAACTTCGCTCATGCTGACATGAGTGAGGGGTGGGGTGTGTGTGTGTGTGTTTTTCAAGGATTTCTCCTCCCCACCCCCACCCCGTAGCCCCTTGAAAACCTGTTCCAGGGAGTTGGGGAGATCCTCTAGAACAGCACAGGAAGTGGCTGCAGGAGGGAAGGGGGAAATGGAGCATAAATTGCCTCCAGCCCTCTACTACCTTCAGTGGAAAGAGGCTTTGCTAGATTACATTTTCATTGCAAATGAGAAGCACCGAAGTTTTGACTTTGCAGATTTTAACATATATTCATGCTGGTGTGTGCAAGATGGTGTATTCATGGTTGTAGGGCAGGAAGAGGGTTTGTTTTTTTGGGGGGTGGGGAGATAATTAGGGGCTGCATCTAGCAAACTCATCCCATTCTTGGAAGGACTTCTGTTTTCCTTTGTTACATTTGTTATTAACGACTGAAAGAGCCGGTTCCAAAATATTCCTGCGCAAACACCAGGCTCAATTCTCAATTCCTTTCATAACATTCTATGGAACGCAACATGGCAATCTACAGTCAACAAGTCCTTGGGGCGCACAAAGATGTAAATTAGCAGAAAACCTGAGACCCAGGAAGGGTGGTGGGGATCTCAGCATCTTCTCTCCAGCGAGATTTCTAGGGACCAACTCACGAGGAAACCCTACTTTCCTTCGATCTTGCAGTCCAAGCTGCTCCCCCTCCCTCTCCTCCCATTGCAAGCGTTCATCCCAGTTTTTTAAATAAATGCTACGAATCCAGTCTTGTCATTTTGTCTTCTCTTGCCAGGGTTAAGAAGCCTTCTCCACGCCCTTTGGGGCAGGTGATGTTGTCCTTAAAAATTTGGGGCAGTACTGAACTAATTAATTGCGCAAACAGAACGAGTTCCGCTTGAGCAAGGCAACTGTCCACCCATCTCCCCCCCCCTGTGTGCCCCCCTGCCACCCCCAATTCTGTCTCAGGACAGATGTTAAAGGGTGCACAGCGACAGGAAAAAGGGAGAATGTTCTGCTGCAGAAGTAGAAATCCTTGAGATGATTCAATGTCCCCCTTAGCGCTACTTTGATTGCAACATATTTCCTATTTCTGATCAAGAGGACACCATTCCATTCATCATAAGGACACCAGGTCATTCATCCACTTCCGTAGCGAGGGGCTGAAATGAGCACACACACAAAGAGTCCTTCGAAATAATGTGGTGCGTAGCCTATAGATGTTGCTGCTTTCGCAGAACATTGAAGATTTAAGCAACCCATTCTAATAACCCTTATGTTACAGCTACACCACTTCCAACTTCAGTCAACAGAAAACAAGAGTCCTGAAACCACCCATAGCCTGGTTTACATGTAAAGGTAAAGGGACCCCTGACCATTAGGTCCAGTCGTGGCCGACTCTGGGGTCGTGGCGCTCATCTCGCTTTATTGGCCAAGGGAGCTGGCGTACAGCTTCCGGGCAATGTGGCCAGCATGACTAAGCCACTTCTGGCAAACCACAGCAGCGCACGGAAACGCTGTTTACCTTCCCGCCGGAGCGGTACCTATTTATCTACTTGCACTTTGACGTGCTTTCAAACTGCTAGGTTGGCAGGAACAGGGACAGAGCAACAAGAGCTCACTCCATCGCGGGGATTCGAACCACTGATCTTCTGATCGGCAAGTCTTAGGCTCTGTGGTTTAACCCACAGTGCCACCCGCATCTCTGTGCTTTACATATACAGATACAAAAATACATCTCTATATATTTACTCACAAGGCATTTGGAGACAGTGATGGAGGATAGACATGAAGTGTGGGTACGCTTCTGTATGGGTCAGCCGCTTCCTCGTAAGCTCAAACATCTGGGTTGCACTTTTCGTATCTATATGGACCTGTATTTGGATAGGCAAAAGGTTACGTTTCGTATTTCCATGCCCCAAGTATAGCTTGACATTGCGACAGGGAGTCAAAAGTTGCTGCCCTCAATTGCACTAAACCCAGAACAATCCGTCTTCAAATCAGGTCTTTATTATATATAGGTGGGGGCAAGTGTACACACACATTTCACCCCCCGCCAATGAATGTTCAAAATTTTGCACGTCTATATCCACACGTGCCTGTTCACAATCCCAGTCAAAATTTGCCAGGTGTACAAGAACTCTTGACACAGAATATAGAATTGTAGCGTTGGAAGAGCCATCCAGTCCAATCTCCTGAAATGCAGGAATCACAGCTAGAGAAACCCTGAGATAATGGCCACCCAACCTCTGTTCAAAAACCAACAACAAAGGAGAGTCCACCATTTTCCAAAATAGTCCGTTCCACTGTCAAACAGATGTGAGTGCTGATGTTTAGCAAGATGCGGCAATCACCACTGTATGTCCAAATCATGGTGAAAGCAATATGACATTTAAGCCACTATCGTGGGATTTTTGCTTCTTCCATTTTAATGTAAATTTCGACACCCACTGTAAAATTCATACAGTGCTCAGGAGTGTGATTCACTTATAGTGATGCTGAGCCCATTTGGGATGGGGGGGTTGGGAAAATGCTCACTTAAAAGCACCCCACCTGCCCACCCCATTTTCAGGGGTCACTGCAAAGGGATCCAGTTGTTGCAGTGATTCGAGGCAGGTAGAATTGTATCCTTTTTTATTCTTACAACAGCAAAAAACAACAACAACCACCCAGCACCAGAGTAGTTAGGATGGATGGATACATACATACCAGTTCAAATCTTTTGGCAAACTCCAATTCATCTTCATTTCTGAGCATTTCAAAAAAGTCTAAATGCCTGGGAAGGAGATAAGAGTCAACACACATTTATTGTAATGGGCTATTGAATACGTTTCCGAGCACAATTCAAAGTGTTGGTGCTGACCTTTAAAACCCTAAATGGCCTTGGTCCAGTAGACCTGAAGGAGCGTCTCCACCCCCATCATTCTGCCCGGACACTGAGATCCAGCTCCGAGGGCCTTCTGGTGGTTCCCTCACTGCAAGAAGTGAGGTTACAGGGAACCAGGCAGAGGGCCTTCTCGGTAGTGGCACCCACCCTGTGGAACGCTTTCTCACCAGATGTCAAAGAGAAAAACAACTACCAGACTTTTAGAAGACATCTGAAGGCAGCCCTGTTTAGGGAAGCTTTTAATGTTTAATAGATTATTGTATTTTAATATTCTGTTGGAAGCCACCCAGAGTGGCTGGGGAAATCCAGCCAGATGGGCGGGGTATAAATTATTATTATTATTATTGTTATTGTTGTTGTTGAATCAATCTTGGCGGGGGGGGGGGGAGAGTCTTAGAAGGCTTATACTACTATTCCTATTTAGAAATTTCTAGAGCAGGCAAGCCATTTATTGACATTTCATCCAGTAGAGTTTGAAGCCCTTTCATAATTCATCCTCTTAACAACAATGCAAAGCTTCCGATTCTTGCTCAAATTTGTGTGGGAGATTTTAGGCAGCCAAATATAACTGCCAGTAAGTAAGGGGTTAGGGACCACAGAGGTGTACATCTCTAGAGACGACTATTTTATTATTAGGCTGTCTGCCAGTGTGCTTTTTATTACGTTTTTTATCATGGGTGTTCTGTAATGCATTTTTAATGTTGTATACTGCCCTGGGATCTTTTGATAATGGGCAGTATGTAAATTGAATCAACAACAACAACATTGCCCAGTTGCCTGAGAAAAGACCAATAAATGCATGAGTTCAACAACGTAAAACAAAATTGCAAGGGGGTGTGTGAGGGGGAGACGGTAAAGCATTTTGTAAACTAATAATACAGCACAAATTTGACTGACAATTGCTCTTAAGTACTGCTGGCATTAGGCACGTTTCAAGAAGCGTTCAGGTACCATTTGAACTTGCCATATTTTTCGCTCTATAGGATGCACTTTTCCCCCTCCAAAAATGAAGGGGAAATGTGTGTGCGTCCTATGGAACAAATGCAGGCTCCTTGGCTTCAGCGGTAGCAACGCAAAGCCTCCGAAGCACAGAGGGAGCGCTCCCTCCGCGCTCAGGAGGCTATGTGTTGCTTTTGCTGAAGCCTGGAGAGCGAGAGGGGTCGGTGTGCACTGACCCCTCTTGCTCTCCAGGCTTCAGGGATAGCCGCCTGAAGCCTTTGGAGCACAGTGGGAACTCGTGCTGTGCTCCGGAGGCTTCGGGTTCCTTTTGCTGAAGCCGGGAGAGCAAGACTCTCCTGGCTTCAGCAGAGAGGGAGAGCTGTGCAGTGCCCCTTCAGTGAAGCGGGAGGAGAAATGGAAGGGGCTCCGTTTCTCCTGCCGCTTCGCTGAAGGGGCGCTGAGCAGAGAGAGGGAGATTTCCCCCCCCCCTGTTCTCCCCCTCTAAAACAAGGTGGGTCCTAAGGTCGGGTGCGTCCTATAGAGCGAAAAATATGGTAATTGGAATGCGTCAGCCTAAAGATGGATACAAACACAAAATCCAGCAAGAATGAAGAAGAAGGCATGATGGGGCAAAATAAACCTCATGGACTACAAACCAATCAACCACACTTACCTATCTAACGTGGAGTTTTCGTGTTCTCTTAATTTGTCAATCACAGGCTGAATCCCAAGCATGAGGAATTCATATCGGAGGTGGAGTCTGAAGTCCAGACTTTCCTGGAAAAGAGGAAGAGAAGAGACCTTTCAAGGACAGTGGGTCTGATTTGAATATGCTTTTGGATGCCAACCTGGTGTCTTCCGGCTGTTCTTGACTACAACTCCCATCACCCCCCAGCCAGAAGCGAAGAGGCGGCAGAAACGAGCCAATCTTATTTTAGGCACACCAGGAAAGAGGGCTGGAATCAAATGCTAAGCACTTGGGCTTCCTGCCCCCCAATGGAATTTTGGGGTCCTCTGGCAAGGCAGCCGTCATGTGTTCCCAGAAAAAGGCTGTGCAAAATTACCCCCTCTATCATGCACCTGAGCTTTCTCAGGAACTCTGTTGAGGGGAAAGGGGAAGAGAGAGGGAGGGAGGGAGGGAGGGAGGGAAAGAAAGAAAGAAAGAAAGAAAGAAAGAAAGAAAGAAAGAAAGAAAATGAAGGGAAGGGAAGGGAAGGGAGGGAGAGAGAGAAAGAAAGAGAGAGAGAGAGAAAGAAAGAAAGAAAGAAAGAAAGAAAGAAAGAAAGAAAGAAAGAAAGAAAATGAAATGAAGGGAAGGGAAGGGAAGGAGGGAGGAAGGAAGGAAGGAAGGAAGGAAAGGGAAGGGAAGGGAAGGGAAGGGAAGAAGGAAGGAAGGGAGGGAGAGAGAGAGAGAGAGAGAGAGAGAGAGAGAGAGAGAGAGAAAGAAAGAAAGAAAGAAAGAAAGAAAGAAAGAAAGAAAGAAAGAAAGAAAGAAAGAAACTATTAGGCTGAACGGGGCCCTGCCCCACCAACCTTAAACAACCTCCACCTGCCTGCCTTCCTACTTACAAGAGCTCAGGAGGTGTCACTCCCTGGCAGCTCACCCCCCCCATCTCAATATTGCCCCTTGTAGTATGGAGGAGAATAGGGGCAAAACTAGGATTAGTTGGCTCTGCCGGCCATTGCCTCTAGCGCCACCTCCTGTTGGACCTCCACCACACCAGCCAAAGTGGTCACCAGCCTCCGTGGTTGAAACCTTTCCCTCCAGCCCCCAAACTTACCACTCCAGCCCCTTGGCTTAGAACTGCGTTGATGAAGGACATAATAGCCGTCTTGAGGCTCACTTCGTCCCGGTATCGGCCTGTGCTTCGGTCCAGGTCATTTATTAGTGTCTGCGGGGTGCAAGGTTTTCAATTAATGACGTCTACAGGTGCAAAAGTGCAGGGGCAAAATGCCACCAGTGCAAACCCATTGCATTAAGAAGAAAAAAAGAACTAGTTTTTTATGCTGAGGATCACAAAAAAAAAGTATGGCCCACCCATACAGCTTCCCTCCCACTGTGGTGTGTTCCAGATGCTTTGGGCAGCTCCCAGGAAGCCTTGGGGAAGGCTGGGTTGGAATTACCTGTCCATGCTAATGAACTGGCTAAAGATAGCTTTTACATATTTTGACAGAACCACAGAGTCTCTGAGTTAAGCACCCATTTATTAATTGCAAAAAAATTAAAAATCAATATTATTATTGTTCTTTATTGAATTTGCATACTGCCCTTCATCCGTATATCTCACGGTGGTTCACAGCATAAAAATACAATGTAAAATCAAGAACGAGAAAGCAAACCAATAAACCTCCCCCCCCCACAACCCAGTTGATGTATGGTAGCTTCCAGGCATATCTCTCAGGTGTCACTCAAACAAGCACCCTATTCTTGGGATATTGTGTTTTAAATTGTTGCCACCTGCCCTGGGACATTAAGGTGAAGGGCAGATGCTGCTGAAATAATGCAAAAATAAAATTTATTATTATTATTATTATTATTATTATTAATTTGTATACAGCCCTATACCTGCAGGACAGTTCACAACCTAAAATCACAATATAAAAACACAAAATTCATAATAACAACAAAAACAGTAACAACCCCCACCCCCCAAAAAAACCCACACATTTTAAAAGGGCATTGGAAGTCAGTCAGCCAAATGCCTAGTTAAAGAGGAATGTTATCACCTGGCACCTAAAGGCGTATAGTGAGGGTGCCAGGCAAGTCTCCCTGGGGAGACTTGCGTTCTACAAACAGGGAGCCAGACTGAGTTGACCCCAGAAAGCATTAAAATAAAAAATAAATGCAGAGATTGCCCAAACTGATGTAAAACTCAAAACACTAAGTAAAAGTTAATACTGGAGGCAGAGGATAAGCTTTAAAGGGTCGATGCAAGCAGAGGTTTCTTGTCCAACTGCTGGCTCTGCTAAAAACAGGCATTGCCTGTTTTCAAAAACCTGCAAGCCCTGTTTGAGCAGACAGAAGCCGTGGGGCAAAAGAAGCACTGATACGCTGTGGAAAGGAAAAAAGTCTCTCCAACGGCCTTCATTATTTCCCAACCTGTGCCATGTTTGGTGTCCTCTGCCCCCTAAACACTGAGAGGGCCCAGTCCCTCGCCAGCAGATATTGAGGGGGGCCAAAGACACCTTGCCCCTAGACTGAGTTGGTGCACATGGTGGCCATCCTGCTTGGGGATGGTAGGAGTTGGAATCTAACAGCATCTGAAGGACTGAAGGCTCCTCTCTCTCTCGCCCCCCCCTCCGGCCCCAATCCATGCTGCGGGTAGGGCTAAAAGATGGATTATTATTCTGTTTATTTCAACAATTTATACCACTATTTCCCAAACTTGGGTCTCCAGCTGTTGTTGGACTACAAGTCCCATCATCCCTAGCTAGCAAGGCCAGCGGTCAGGGATGATGGGAATTGTAGTCCGAAAACAGCAGGAGGCCCAAGTTTGGGATCTTCATACTTCTTAATGACAACCGTCTTGTGGTATACAACCAAGAATACAATATAAAAGGTAAAGGTAAAGGGACCCCTGACCATTAGGTCCAGTCGTGACCGACTCTGGGGTCGCTTTATTGGCCGAGGGAGCCGGCGTACAGCTTCCAGGTCATGTGGCCAGCATGACTAAGCCGCTTCTGGTGAACCAGAGCAGCGCACGGAAACGTCGTTTACCTTCCCGCTGGAGTGGTACCTATTTATCTACTTGCACTTTGAAGTGCTTTCGAACTGCTAGGTTGGCAGGAGCAGGGACCGAGCAACGGGAGCTCACCCCGTCGCGGAGATTCGAACTGCTGACCTTCTGATCGGCAAGTCCTAGGCTCTGTGGTTTAACCCACAGCGCCACCCGCGTCCCATATTTCCCAACGTACAACCAACTTAAGTGGCAAGAGGCCAGTCCGTACCTGAAAGCGAGTTCTTTCGCTGGCGTATTTCTGGTAGTGCACCATGGCTTCCAGCACCTTCTTGTGACCCCCGGGAACCAGGCACACAGCTCCCATGATTTCCAGCACGGCCACCTTGGTCTTAATGTTTTCCGTGCTTAGGCTCTGCGCTATCACATTAATGCTCTCCAAATGGGCCAGGACGTGAGCTCTCCCCAGAGAGTTGTTCATCAGAGCTTTGATGCACCCGATGAGAGAGGTATGTATCCGGGACTCAGAGGTCTCGTAGTCCATGCTCTTCAGGAAGTTCAGAATGCACGTCAAGCCATCCAGGTCGATAAACCGGGTGACAAACCTGCCAGAAACAGATCGCCATAAATACAAGAGGGTTCGTCAGGAAAAAACACCACACAATGCAAATTTAACATCAGATAAAGATCCTCTCCTCAGCAAAGTTTTGTTAGACCCCTTTCTTTCCCCAGGGCTACAACAGTTTAACAAGAAGGTACAGCAACTCAGGCTGTAAGTGGAACTTTTGTGATCGATATCCCTTCCATCTGCCAAGGCTATAATAAAAACTAGGTTGTGGGATATTGAAAGCCAAGAACTAACAGTAGCAGCAGAGAAAACCTGTTCCCCTCTTTATTTTCAACTTTCTTGGGCGCATGAAACTAACCATAATTACCTTGACTTTCTGCTTAACCCCCAAGAAAGAAGGGCATTTTCGCTGGTCAGGTTTAATTCAAATCCATCCAACCTCCTTTGGGAAAGGTTCTCAGGCAGGGTGGAAGGAGAAAGAACTTGCCCATGTGAAGACCACCTGCTGGAAACCCTTACACATATGGTTCTCAGTTGTAAACTATATGCTGATCACCGCCAGCAATTTCTAGATCAACTCTGTATCCCCAAATGGAAACCAGAATCAGAGGTCATACATTTTCTATTACTGAGGAATGATCAGGAGCTCACCAAGTCAGCGGCTAAATATCTCTATTTGTCGTCGAAATACACTACAGACGTCTGATCTCCCTGGAGACCAAGAGATGTGACGATAGACTGCTCTGGCTCCTTTTTTTTTTTTAGCAAAAGTTTTGTGCCACTGGGGAAGTGGTAGAATCATAGAATCATAGAGTTGGAATAGACCACAAGGGCCATCGAGTCCAACCCCCTGCCAAGCAGGAAACACCATCAGAGCACTCCTGACATATGATTGTCAAGCCTCTGCTTAAAGACCTCCAAAGAAGGAGACTCCACCACACTCCTTGGCAGCAAATTCCACTGTCGAACAGCTCTTACTGTCAGGAAGTTCTTCCTAATGTTTAGGTGGAATCTTCTTTCTTGTAGTTTGGATCCATTGCTCCGTGTCCGCTTCTCTGGAGCAGCAGAAAACAACCTTTCTCCCTCCTCTATATGACATCCTTTTATATATTTGAACATAACTATCATATCACCCCTTAACCTCCTCTTCTCCAGGCTAAACATGCCCAGCTCCCTTAGCCGTTCCTCATAAGGCATCGTTTCCAGGCCTTTGACCATTTTGGTTGCCCTCCTCTGGACACGTTCCAGTTTGTCAGTGTCCTTCTTGAACTGTGGTGCCCAGAACTGGACACAGTACTCCAGGTGAGGTGAGGTAATTCTGTATTGATTTGTTTTGGATGTTGTATGTGATACCAATAAAAGGTTTGATGACGATGAAATTACAAATTACGTTAAGCAGAGGTTGGATGGTGACCTGTTCTGGATGCTTTAGCTGGGATTACAATATGGCAACCTCCAGAAGCTGCTGGACTCCAGCTCCCCAAATGACCAATGGTCAGAAATCGCTAGAGTCAGGGCTTTTCTTCAGCCCGAGTGCAGTTCCGGCACCTCTCAGGTGGTGGGTGCCATTGTGGGGTGGCTTTCTGACATGGTCCTGCTGTCTTCTGCTGCCACCAGTTGCCAGAGTGGGAAAGGGGAAGCGAACAGGATGGGAAGCTGGGGAGAGTGTCATGAAATTCTACTCAGTATTGATCCAGAGTAGATTCCAACGTATAGTTAGCAGAGCAAAAGCTTAAACAAGTGTCAGTTTGAACTTATTGGTATAGAAAGAATTGATCTGATGTGTAGAGATCTTTCCTATTCTACTTAATTCAAGAGGGTTCTGGAAGCTTCTCTGTGTGGAAGAAACAAGCAGAAGGTTCATGATGTTTGGGTACAGCTGAGAACAGCTGGGTTAAACTGGTTCTCCTATCCAGTGGCGTAGTGTGGGTTGTCAGCACCCGGGGCAAGGCAAGTAATTTGCGCCCCCTAACCCGTAGATTTGCGCCCCCTAACCCATGGATTTGCCCTAACCCCAGATGTTGCGCCCAGTGCGGCCGGCCCCCCCTGCACCCCCCATGCTACGCCACTGCTCCTATCTCTTTCTGTCAAGGTCATGCTGACTATAAAAGTAAGGCCAGAAGGAGCCTGGGTTTCACTTTCTCTTTCTATCACTTTTCCTTCTGGTGCAGTGTTCTGTACATAGTATGCTATATAGTGTTAAAGTTTAGACTCATAAGTTATTGTAAGTTTAAGTTAAGTCTGCTGCAACTGGATTTCTTATGGACTGGGCCAATCCTGAATGTACAGTGGTACCTCGGGTTACATACACTTCAGGTTACAGGCTCCGCTAACCCAGAAATAGTACCTCGGGTTAAGAACTTTGCTTCAGGATGAGAACAGAAATTGGCAGCAGCAGCGTGGCAGCAGCAGGAGGCCCCATTAGCTAAAGTGGTGCTTCAGGTTAAGAACAGTTTCAGGTTAAGAACGGACCTCCGGAACGAATTAAGTACGTAACCAGAGGTACCACTGTATTGGATTTGTGACCATTATGCTCATTTGCCTTCAGTAGAAGTAGTAAACTGAATGAAATACAATTGCCTCTGGTCTATTTTGGGGGAATCCTGCAACGTATTAAAGTTTTTACTCTGCTAACTACACAATGGAGTTCTGCTCTGGATCAATATTGAGTAGAATTCTATGACAGAGAGGTCACTGCAATTCTGAGCCTCGAGTACCTCATGGAAATGGGGTTGGCGGGGGACGAAGAGAGAACGGAAGGTGTGCATAGGCAGGTGGGTGGGCTTGACAGGGACACCCCCCTCAGGGAAACCCCCTCGCCGGGAGAGGTTGAGGCTACTAGCGACGACGGCTCAGTGGAACCTCCAGGGTCAGAGTGAGTCTATCACTCTGAACAAAGAGGTGCAGCTTCCTATAAGATAGTGCAGCCCAGAATCTTGTCACATGATGTTTGCTTCAAGGTGGCAGCGTCGGCAGCGTCTGGGTTGGCGAGGGTGGAGGTGAGTCCCAGCACTTTTTATTCCAGAAAAAAAGTAACCCAGTAACATCCTTCCCTGGTTCTAGTGATATCTACTCAGCTCCTTTCGGCAAACTTAGCAACGACTGACCAGAACCTTATGGGGATTAACATTAAGAGTTCTTTGGCTAGAGAATCAATTCCAGGAACCCTTTTGCTAGAGAACCAATAGGAAAGCAAGCAGTTGAACCAATAGGAAAGCAAGAAGTTGGGCAGCAAAGCAAAGAAAACCATTTGCCTCATTGGTTTGGTCCTCAGCGCCGTCTTCAAACTCTCTATGGTTTTGCTGCGCTCTTCTTCATCTTCTTTTTCCAAAGCAATCAGCGATTTTCTCTGCAAAAGGTAAAAAGAAAATCACCGCAAGAAATAAGTTAGGCACAGCCAGCTTATTTACATTTTGCACGGAAGCCAGAATACACAATAAACATGAACATCCTAGCACAACACAACCCCAGCCTCCCAGTATATATAAGGGTCTGGTGACTTCTGTTTCAGTGTGTATCTGAAGAAGTGGGCATGCACACGAAAGCTTATACCTAGAACAAACTTGGTTGGTCTCTAAGGTGCTACTGAACTATTTTTATTATTATTATTTTGACTGCGTCAGACCAACACGGCTACTTACCCGAATCTAGAATCCCAGCACAACGTGAAGTAGATCAGTGAAGAGGCAGACTCCCAATTGTTTAGTAACACTAATAACAAAAAAAAGACTCCGCTGCCCTGTAAATTACACTACTAATTTAAGAAAGCTTGGGGGGGGAAACCAGGAGTGGATTTTTGTGTGACGGGACTGGGAGCTCAGTTCTAGCACTGATTCCTAAGCTAAGCAGGTCACAGAGGGCCCCTGGTCTTTACTTCCAGGAGTATGTTGCTCCACCACTGCAAGTCACTGGTTTGCACCAGGCTCTGACTGGTGGACCTCGTAGGCAGGTAGTGGTGGAGCAAGTAGATCCTGTGAGCCTAAAGTCTGTGCAGGCTAGATCTAAAAGCAGATTCATACGCTTGCATTTCCACTGCTTTGTGACACCCTGTTTAATATGCAACTATTCATACTGAGCTGAAAAATACTCAGCCCCACAGCAACCGATTCTGTCGGAAGTTAATGCTAATGAAACAGAAGAGAAATCACAAAGGACAAGGAGGAAGGGCACAGAAGCATTTAACGGCGCACTAGCAATTAGGCCATATTTAATTTCATTTAGCAATATAGCATTATTAGCATAGTGCCTGCTTATAGCCCAAATGGCTTCTATTGTGCCCAGTACATGAGTCTAAATGGACACAGGAGAATAGCAACTGATAACTAAGGTTGCAATCCTGTGCACACTTAGGAATAAACTCCATCTAATTCAATGGGATTGATTTCTGAGTAAACAGGATTGCCCTGTAAGACTCAAAAGTGTATGGTAATGGACAGGATCAAAATCCACTGTGAACCAAGACAGAAGAAACGGTGTTCCTACATCTAGTTTAGGAAAAGTGAATACAGTTGAGAGACACGTGTTTCAACTTTTTACAATTTCATGGAGAAGAAAGGAGGTTTTGTGAGATTTCCAGTTTTGGGAGAGCATGGACGGCTCATAAATTTCCCAAACTGAATCTCAAGACATTTTGCAAAATTTCAACAGACACGTGTGGATTTGCACAAATGCAACAGGATGCTTAATTCTCTGTGCCAAACCATGTCCTGAAATTCAACTTTCAAGGAAAATCCTTCTCTAAGTGACGTTTTCCCCAAACACCAATCTGACATTCAGAAATCTCCACATGGTTGCAATTGGACCCATGCCAGTTGCAAAATGCGCCTGGCTAATTTCTAACACTGACAACAGACCTCTTCCTGAAACCCTGGAGAGTCACCCTCAGTGTAAACCAGGGCTGGGGAAACTGAGACCTCTTGGATTCCATTGGACAACAATCCCCATCGTTCCTGATCACAGGCTATTATGGCAAGGGCTGATGGGAGTTGGAGTCTGAAGGGGCAAATGTACCCCATCCCTGCTATAGACAATGTTTTGCTAGACAGGCCAGTGGTCTGATTCAGTATAACTTCCTCTCTGTCCCTGTCTCCAAAACATGCCTTTTGGAAAACTCTACCCAACACACTCTTTATAGTGACATGAGTTTGTGGGTGCCAGACTTTTAATCCTTATAATCCTAGTGTTATGTACTGAGTTGAATAGGGTCCAAAATGCAGCAGTCTGATTGGTCCTAGAACAATAGGATTCAGAATGCAGCAGTCTGATTGGTCCTAAAACAATAGGATCCAGAATGCAGCAGTCTGATTGGTCCACAGGAGCCACCCAATCCAGCTCCAGGTGGAAGGGAATAAGCAACCTGATTGGCCTGCAGGAGAATCCCAGAATTAGCCAATCACGTGGGGTTCATTGTGTAAATAATGTATATAAGGCAGACATTCTGGGGGAACTTCCATTCCTCCTTACCACTATGAGCTGAATAAAGAGCATGAAATCCACGCTTGACTCCGAGTATATTTCACCTAGCAAGTGTTATAAAATAAGCCAGGCTAACTTCCTCAGGAGGTGATCGCCTGGGCGAAGGGCCATTAAGAAAAAGGAGAGGTGATGGGCCATTAAGAGAGCAAAAGAGAGGGGGCTCTGTCCCAGAACACCAATGGGTGAGTCCCTTCCTCCAGCTCACAGATAGTGAGATGGACAAAAGCCAGAGTTTAGAGTTGAAGAGTGTGTGCAATGTGACCTAGAAGTAAAAAGCTGCAGGCTGAAAAGCCAGAGGGGCAAAGCAGGATGTTTGATTTCTGCTAGAGTCCAAGGCTGCGGCTATGGGACAGGCAAGACCCTTTGATGTTGTGAACCCCTCCATCGTATGCTCAGGTTGCATATATGTGGAAATAAACCACATCTATATCCTAAAGACACCGCAGTCTCTGCTGTGCCTCCTTTGCAAAAAGAAACAATCCCTAGGGGAGCTCCTGGAACTCCTGGAATCTTGCACCACTCAGAGGTCAGGGTGGCGTGCAACAACATGGGATCTCTAGCCGCGGTGGCTCCGCTCCCTCCTGACTTTGTCATCTGCGCCCCATGTTTGCTTTAAAGGGGACACTGCAAAGAGGAGCTCCTGGTGGCATTGCCAAACTACCAAACACACGCACACCACCCGCTGATATTCAAAGATGCCCAGGCATTCTGCAAAAAGCACTTCAACATCAGAGAGTTTCATAAGTGATCTAATCAACGGCACATTATCTTGTGCCCGTGGCAAGTGGAAGAGTCCAAGGAAGGATTCTATAAGCAGCCTCCAAGCCTTTGCTCCCTTGCCAGGGACATCTAAGAAAGGAATCCCTTTCTAATGTTTATTCAGCCTCTTCTTTCCCTCCCTCTTTTTTGGGGGGGTGGAAAAAGCTGCCTGCTTGCACAGACGAAGTCAGACCCACAGGTCAACCTAGCTCAGTACTGTCTGCTCAGACTGGCAGCGACTCTCCAGGGTTCCGGGCAGGGAGTCTCCCAGACCTACTTGGAGACGCCAGGGATTGAACCTGGGACATTCTGCATGCAAAGCAGATGCTCTACCCACTGAGCTATACAGTCCTTTCCCTAAAAAGATGCCCTGCACCACTGGGTCTACTTAGCTTAGCCTACACTGGCTGGCAGCACTTTCTGCCCTTCAGACTGTGACTTCTGATCCCAAAATGTTTTCCTGCTTTTATAGCTCAGTTTGTAAGGTACAAGACTCTTAATCTCATGGCTGTGGGTTTGAGCCCCACGTTGGGCCAAAAAAAATTCCTGCATTGCAGGGGGTTGGGCTAGATGACCGTCCGGGGTCCCTTCCAACTCTATGATTCTAGTTTTCCATAAGTATTAACTGGCCTTCCCCACACTCAGTTGGGAGACCCTGCTTAAAGACCCTCTTGAAGCTGAATTATCCATCAGACTCATGGTTTGTCCTAGAATTCCTGAGCTGCCTCTTCCTCCAGCACTGAACGCAGCTCTTGACTGTGAGGTGGTCGAACCCTAGCGCACGTGTGGTTTTCTTCTCCTGGAATCGTCAAGGACGTTCCCCACATTCCTGAGATGATAACAGACTGCACTGTGGAAGGGGAGTCAGGAAGTTATTGCCTTTTGCTATAGTTGCTGCTTTTTCTCATTTTTCTCTCTGTTCAGCAAATGGTGTGCAGAAATAAGTCTGGTCGGGATGGAGGATATATCTTCCCTGTCTCCTGCTTCCCAAACCTTCTTTTTTAAAAAACAAACAAACAACCACCCAGATATGCTGGGGATTAAAACTGGGACATTCTGTGTGCCAATCCTGCACCAATGAGCTACCGTCTCTTCCCATATGCTGAGTGGGTGGGCCAGGTGAACAGCTTGTTGTTTAGTCGTGTCCGACTCTTCGTGACCCCATGGGCCAGAGCACGCCAGGCACTCCTGTCTTCCACTGCCTCCCGCAGTTTAGTCAAATTCATGCTGGTAGCTTCGAGAACACTATCCAACCATCTCGTCCTCTGTTGTCCCCTTCTCCCTGTGCCCTCCATCTTCCCGAACATCAGGGTCTTTTCCAGGGAGTCTTCTCTTCTCATGAGGTGGCCAAGGTATTGGAGCCTCAGCTTCAGGATCTGTCCTTCCAGTGAGCACTCAGGGCTGATTTCCTTCAGAATGGATAGGTTTGATCTCCTTGCAGTCCATGGGACTCTCCAGAGTCTCCTCCAGCACCATAAATCAAAAGCATCAATTCTTCGGCGATCAGCCTTCTTTATGGTCCAGCTCTCACTTCCATACATCACTACTGGGAAAACCATAGCTTTAACTATACAGACCTTTGTTGGCAAGGGGATGTCTCTGTTTTTTAAGATGCTGTCTAGGTTTGCCATTGCTTTTCTCCCAAGGAGCAGGCGTCTTTTAATTTCGTGGCTGCTGTCACCATCTGCAGTGATCATGGAGCCCAAGAAAGTAAAATCTCTCACTGCCTCCATTTCTTCCGTGAGAGAACAGAAAACCCACCAAATCCTTATCATCTCTCCTGTCCCAGTAGACACATGGATTTGGTTTCACAGTGCCAGCAAGAGAAGAGGTCCAGCCGTCTGTGAATAATGAAACTGGGATGGGTAGATCCTGTGTGTGTGTGTGTGTTTTTGTAAAAAGTTGTTAACATTTCCTCTAAAGCCGTCTTGGAGGCGGTGATGCAATCGGACAGCTGTCACCGGGATGTTAAGGGAGGAAGCTGCCCTGCAGAAATGTTTAACCAATGATGTCATCCTTTCATGGCAGCAATTCACCGTAAAAATCCAAGGGGATAAGGTTTTTCCTCTTAAGTGGAGCTGAAGTGTTTTATGTGCAACGGGGACACTCAACATTTGCAAGGCATTTTATGGTTCCAGCAGAGAAGTGCCCACATCTGAGAAGCTGAAAATCTGAAGCTATGTCCAGAACGCTCGATCTCACCAACAAGTGAAGAAAAATCAGACACATACACATTCATATGTTTCACAAGTTTGGTGGCCCACAGTCGAGACTGCTTGCATCTAAAATGATTTGGAGAGATCGGCACGAGGAAGGTAGAAAGATTTCAAGCTGCCTCTGGTTTCAATGAGAATCAACTCATTTGTCTGAAAGAGGACTACCCCAGGGTTTTTTCCATTTAGAAACGTGGTTTGTGTTTTTTAAAATGTTTTTATTTGTAATATTTTAGTGCTGCTCTGTACCGGAGGGGTTGATAACTCCGTTGTAGCTTGTCCTGGGATCAGTAGGAGCACATAGCGAATCAGACCATTGGGTCAGTATTGTCAACACTGACTGGCAGCAGCTCTCCAGAATTTCAGAACTTCCCTACCTGAGGATGCCGAGAATTGAACCCGGGGCCGTCTGCATGGAAAACAGCTGCTCTTTTACTAAGCTAGGGTCCTTTACTGAATGATCTAGTAACACAGAAAGCTGAACCCCATTGCAGGGGTTGGACTAGATGACCCCCAGGGTCCCTTCCAACCCAACAGTTCTATGATTCTAAGTAAGACCATTGTTCTGTTTGGCTCAGTACTGTTCACATGGCAGTAGCTCTCAGGATTTCCCCAGGGGCTCCTAACAGAATACAGTGGTACCTTGGTTTACGAACTTAATCTGTTCGGGAAGTCTGTTCTTAAACCAAAGCATTCTTAAAGTAATGCGTGCTTTCCCATAGCAGTGGGGGACTCAATTTACAAACGGAACACACTCAACAGGAAGCGGAATATGTTCTGCTTCCAAGGCAAAGTTCACAAACCAAAACACCTACTTCCGGGGTTTGCAGCGTTCTTAATCCAAGTTGTTCATAAACTAAGCTGTTCTTAAACCAAGGTACCACTTTATGGAAAGCACAATAAAACATCAAACATTAAAAACTTCCCTAAACAGGGCTGCCATCAGATGTCTTCTAAAAGTCAGATAGTTGTTTATTTCCTTGATATCTGAAGGGAGGGTGTTCCACAGGGCAGGCGCCACCACCGCTAAGGCCCTCTGTCTGGTTCCCTGTAACCCCAATGCTTGCAGTGAGGGAACTGGCAGAAGGCCCTCGGAGCTGGACCTCAGTGTCCGGGTGGAGACGCTCCTTCAGGGATACTGGACTGAGGCCGTTTGGGGCTTTAAAGGTCAGCACCAACACTTTGAATTGTGCTTGGAAACATATCAGGAGCCAGTGTAGATCCTTTAGGACTGGTGTTAAATGGTCCTGGCAGCCAGTCCTAATCACCATTCTAGCTGCCTCATTCCAGATTAGTTGTAGTTTCCAAGTCACCTTCAAAGGTAGCCCCACATAGAGTGCATTGCAGTAGTCCAAGCAGGAGATAACCAGGGCATGCACCACTCTGGTAAGACAGTGTGCAGGCAGGTAGAGTCTCGGGTTGCGTACCAGATGGAGCTGGTACAGCTGCCCTGGATATCTGTGAGTCCAAAATGACTCCCAAGCTGAGCACCTGGTCCTTCAGGGGCACAGTTACTCCATCTTGGATCACGGAGTCCCCCACACCTGCCCGTCCCCCAGAAACAGTACTTCTGTGTTGTTGGGATTCAACCTCAATCCGTTAACCACCATCCATTTACAGTGGTACCTCGGGTTACATACGCTTCAGGTTACAGACTCTGCTAACTCAGAAATAATTTTAAGAACTTTGTTTCAGGATAAGAACAGAAATCGTGCTCCGGCGGCACGGCGGCAGCAGGAGGCCCCATTAGCTAAAGTGGTGCTTCAGGTTAAGATCAGTTTCAGGTTAAGAACGGACCTCTGGAACGAATTAAGTACTTAACCCGAGGTACCACTGTACCAACCTCCTCCAGACACTAAAACTGGACATTTGCCACTCTCACTGGCTCTGATTTAAAGGAGAGAGGTAGAGCTGGGTAGTTTTAGTCTAGTAAAATCAGGTGAGTTCCACGTTGGCTACCCCTGGTTAAACCATTCATCCCAACCCACAAACTTTCAAGCATGGGTTGGTTGCTATAAGGACGAAAAGCTTGTTTTTTAACGACGTCCACCAAGACAATATCTCTTCTGCAGAATCGCAAGCTCACATCCCTAATGAAGGCCCTCTGTGTGCAACATTTTTCGTCCAGCAGCTCCGTTTCCCAATTAATTTCTGCTTCTGTGCAGATCAGACTTTTCTGCAGGTCTTTCCGCTTGGAGCTTGCTCTGTAGGCAGCTCTCTCCTGCACTCTCAGGTGCGTCTGGGTGCCAAGAGCCATGGGTGGCATTTGGCTTAGCCTGCTACGGCCAGAGAGAGAGAGAGAGAGAGAGAGGAGGCCGGACTGATCAGATACAGCAGAGGTGAAGGTTGCGCGGGAGACGTCAAGCGACGCCCTGCCTGCAGCTGTCCAAGCAACTGCGGTGGCATCATGCCACGTGTGTGTTTGCAAACGCGGGGAAGATTTGTTTCTACAAACTCTCTAATGACTTCAACAAGAGCCCCTTGATCAAAGAAAACAGACCCGGCTTGTCTTTTAAGTGAGCTGATTTATAGGCCCTTTGGGCAAGTGTTGCCTCGTTACGCCAACAGGAGCAAGCAGAGGGGGCTGGAATTCTTACCGAGAGCAAATACAGGCTGCTTCCTTTTTTGCAACCGCAGCATCTGCAGATCCCTCGACAAGGGCCAGGGCAGGAGCTGTGACCCGTGGAGGGATTGCGGGGGGTCTGGGAGCACTGGATATGTGCAGCCCTTTCCCAACGGCTAACAGGGAAGCTGCCATTTTTGTTTGCCTATTTCTTTCCATGCTATGTTGTTGTTGCTTAGTCGTTTAGTCGTGTCCGACTCTTCGTGACCCCATGGACCAGAACACACCAGGCCCTCCTGTCTTCCACTGCCTCCCGCAGTTTGGTCAAACTCATGCTGGTAGCTTTGAGAACACTGTCCAACCATCTCGTCCTCTGTCGTCCCCTTCTCCTTGTGCCCTCCATCTTTCCCAACATCAGGGTCTTTTCCAGGGAGTCTTCTCTTCTCATGAGGTGGCCAAAGTCTTGGAGCCTCAGCTTCAGGATCTGTCCTTCCAGTGAGCACTCAGGGCTGATTTCCTTCAGAATGGATCGGTTTGATCTTCTTGCAGTCCATGGGACTCTCAAGAGTCTCCTCCAGCACCATATTCAAAAGCATCAATTCTTCGGCGATCAGCCTTCTTTATGGTCCAGCTCTCACTTCCGTACATCGCTACTGGGAAAGTCATAGCTTTTACTATACGGACCTTTGTTGGCAAGGTGATGTCTCTGCTTTTTAAGATGCTGTCTATGTTATAGCACGCCTGGATAGCTCATCTGGTTAGAGTGTGGCGCTCTTAATGCCACGGTTGCAGGTTTGATCCCCAAATGAGACAACTCCATATCCCTGCATTGCAGGGGGTTGGACTAGGGGATAATCATGATCCCTTCCAACTTCAGGGTCCCTTCTATAAGCCCACCCTTTGGAGGTGCAGGTCAATTCTGTGTCCAGGGCAGCTGTCTTACTAGCTCCAGCTGGTACTCCAGCTGAGACCCTATCTGCCCGCGGACTGCCTTGCCAGAGTGGTGCATGCCCTGGTTATCTCCCGCTTGGACTACTGCAATGCGCTCTACGTGGGGCTACCTTTGAAGGTGACCCGGAAACTGCAATTAATCCAGAATGCGGCAGCTAGACTGGTGACTGGGGGCGGCCACCGAGACCACATAACACCGGTCTTGAAAGACCTACACTGGCTTCCAGTATGTGTTATATGTGCACAAAGTGGGCAGGCTATAATAACACTAATACTAATAGAGTTGGTGTCAACCCCTGGGGGGGGCACCACATTGACTAGGCCTGTGCTAAACCATAGTTTTGTGTTATGAGAATGAACCCAGGCTATGTGGACTCAGAGCTTCCCCCTCCCCCTCTGGTGTAGCCCACAAAGTGAGTTCAGAAGGTCTGACTTACGTTAAGATTAACAGAGGCTGGCAGTGTTGTCCAAACCCAGAAGGTTGTGATTTGTCTAAACTATGGTTAGTTGAAACAATGCCAAACTTCAACCCACGGTTTTTGAAGCTGGCTTGCTTTCACTAGCACCGCTAAGATCAACCACTTTTTAGGGTTCCTGCAACACAGCCCTGGTTTTATTTCTCAAAACCATTCTTCCGTTTAATGAAGCCAGAAAGCAGATTTCTGAATCCTCCACTTACAGCAGCCATGGAGTTAAGCTGATCAATGTAGAACTCTGGCCAGCTCGTGGCTCCTTTATTTTCTTCTTGGTCCTGAAACAAAGAGACAAAGGGAACCAGGTCAGAAAACACAACACTGGTTTTGCATTACCCCAAGCAACTCACAGCTGCTCCCTAGACAGATGATTTGGTACACAATGATCCACCCTCCTGAAACTTGCTGATAAAAGTTACCCAAATAGTTCAGATTATAACTGGGAACTCTTGAGACGTGACATTTTTTAAAAGAGGTACTAAACGGGGAAGAGTTTATTCTCTTGCAGAAAAAATGCTACTTGAGTGACAAGAAAATTATGAGCTGAAGATCATTCTTTAGTGTACACAGCAGAAGTAGACAACCTGTTTTAAATCAAGGAAGAGAGAGAAGAGAGAGAGAGAGTTTGGATTTGATATCCCGCTTTATCACTACCTGAAGGAGTCTCAAAGCGGCTAACAATCTCCTTTTCCCTTCCTCCCCCACAACAAACACTCTGAGGTGAGTGAAGCTGAGAGACTTCAGAGAAGTGTGACTAGCCCAAGGTCTCCCAGCAGCTGCATGTGGAGGAGCGGGGAAGCGAACCCGGTTCACCAGATTACGAGACTACCGCTCTTAACCACTACACCACACTGGCTCTCATTCCCTTCCTGTCCAGCATCCTTTGCGGAGAGTAGCCAACCAGATGACTATGAGAAGCCCACAAGCCTTTGGACATTTGGCGGGGGGGCTTCATGTTAACTGCCCCTAAATCAGCATTAGAAACCCCCCAGGTGTACTTTGCAACTGGCAACTTTGCAACCACATGCAGATCTCTAAATGCCAGGCTGGCGACTGACCTCTCCATCCAGCTGGCCCCTCCAGCTTTCTTAAGCAGGCAAGCAGAAGACCTTATTTCTTGCATTTATCTCCCAACTTTTCCTCCAAGGAGTACATGGTTCACCCTCTTCCTCAGTTAATCCCTACAACGACCCTGTGAGGTACGGTAGGTTAGGAGGCTGCGAATGACTCTGAGGTCACCCCAGTGAGCTTCATGACTGAGTGGGGATTTGAACCCTGATCTCCAGGTCCTAGTCCGACACTCTATCCACTACACCACAACAGCTTCCTAGAGTCCTTCTGCTATGGGGCAGCTCTATAAATGAGGTAGGTAAATAGATATGGGGAAAGCCAAATGTCACTTAAAGAAGGCTTCCTGGAAGCTTGAATTTCTTTCTTTCTAGATTGTTTCATTTGATGCTTTAATATGTTGTAAACCACTCTGAGATTTTTTTCTTTAGGCAATAAGTTTGTAAATATTAAATGAAGTATGGAGAAGATGGGAAGTTAGATATACTTTAAGAAGATCTACTGTCAGAATATATGATTTTATTCTTTTGTTTATTTTGTGTTTGGTGTAACAATCGATGTAGATGTATGGTTTTTCTTTTTGATTTTTGTTGGTGTTTATAATAAAGCATAATAAAAAAGAGATTTTTTTTCTTTAAAATATAAAGCGGTACAGAAATGAAATGAATAATAGTAATAACTTTCTTGAAGGAAAAAAAAAAAGGCACCTAGACATTCCGTTGTGAGTACCGTAATCTAGTTTTAAGGTGCCATTTGGTAATTAGCTTATATATCTGAATTTCTAGCATTGCCCTAAATGAGCCAAACATGAAGAAAGCTACGCTCATGTGTCAAAAGGAACGTCAGGTTTTAAGTAGGCCTCACTGTCCTGGCCCATGTTTCTCAAGTCACCCTTCCAAGTGACAGGCAATTTCTTATAAATTAGGAACCAGAGTGGTGTGGAATCTGATAAGAAAACCAAGTTTGCTGCCAGTGAACCAGTTATCCCTGCTTACAAAAAGCTGGCAGATTCACGGTCATTTCTCCCCGTCCCTGCGGAGGGTGGGGAGCACCAGCTGCCTCGAGCGCTGGGTATCACTGAACAATCCACTGCAGGAGAATTAGGTCACTCACAGACAAAACCGTTCACTCGGCTGGCAAGCAGCCAAGGGCTGGAGCGACGAGTTCACAGGAAGAAGATGAAAACAGCTCTGCTTTCAGGTTGCAAGCTCAAGCCCAATGGTGGATTAATTGTGGTGTTGCTCCAAGAGAGAGCTGCCTAAGGATCAGGATGTGAGGAAACCCTAACCCAAAACATTGGGAGTTGCATCTAAGTCTATACCCGTTGAAATTATTGGGCATGACTAACTTAGAATCATAGAATTGCTTACTCCATCTTCCACATGACAACCCTTTAGATATTTGAAGATGGTTAATAAATAAATAAATAAATAAATAATAATAATAATAATAATAATTTATTTATACCCTGCCCATCTGGCTGGGTTTCCCCAGCCACTCTGGGTGGCTTCCAGCACAATATTAAAATAAAGTAATGCATCAAACAGTAGAAGCTTCCCTAAACAGGGCTGTCTTCAGATGTCGTCTAAAAGTCTGGTAGTTGTTGTTCCTTTTGACATCTGGTGGGAGGGCGTTCCACAGGGCGGGTGCCACTACCAAGAAGGCCCTCTGCCTGGTTCCCTGTAACTTGGCTTCTCTCAGTGAGGAAACCACCAGAAGGCCCTCGGTGCTAGACCTCAGGGTCCGGGTAGAATGATGGGGGTGGAGTCTCTCCTTCAGATATACTGGGCCGAGGCCGTTTAGGGCTTTAACGGTCAGCACCAACACTTTGAACTGTGCTTGGAAACGTACTTAGGGCCAATGGTTCTCATATCTCCTCTCAGTCTTCTCTTCTCCAGGCTAAACATACCCAGCTCCCACAATCAAGGTCTTGGTTTCCAGACGCTCAATCATCTTGGTTGCCTTTCTTTGCCCATGTTCCAGTTTGTCAACATCCTTCTTAAATTGTGGCGCCCAGAACTGGACAAAGTATTCCAGGTGTGGTTTGACCAAGTGGAGTGGGACCATGACTTCCCTTGATGTGGACACAAGACTTCTCTTGATGCAGCCTGGGATAGCATTTGCTTTCTTTTCTTTTTTCTTTTTTGACAAAGTACTAAGAATAAAAATGTGCACCGCACCACCGAGACCATTCCATTATAACTATCCAACCTCCCAAAATTTGGGCCCTTTCCATTTTAACAGTACAAATTCTACAAACACCTTCTACAAACACTCTCCTCAAAATAATTTCTCCTGCGTATTCCCCATCTTATCTTAATGGCACATGTTAATTTATCATTAATAGCTATATCCCACACCGCTTTATACCAGTCTTCCATTTTATATTCTGCTTGCCCCTTCCACTTCCTAGCTATCATAATTCATGCAGCTGTCAATAAATTTGTGAGCAGGTCCTTCATAGCCTGCGAACCTTCCACCCCATTGTAAACTGATAATAATGCTACCTCTGGACTTTCAGTCAGCTTTAATCCAGTGATTTCTGTTATCTCCTTAAACCCCTTTTGCCAGAAAAATCCTACATATTTACACCCCCACCACATGTGAACATAATTCCCAGTTGTGGTGTAGTGGCGAAGAGCAGTGGTCTCATAATCTGGTGAACCGGGTTCGATTCCCCGCTCCTCCACATGCAGCTGCTGGGTGACCTTGGGCTAGTCACACTTCTCAGCCTCACCCACCTCACAAAGTGTTTGTTGTGGGGGAGGAAGGGACAGGAGATTGTTAGTCGCTTTGAGACTCCTTCGGGTAGTGATAAAGCGGGACATCAAATCTAAACTCCTCTTCTCTTCTTATTCAGTTTCCTGGCATCCTCTCCAACGTTATACCAAATATTCTTTGTTTATTTGATTTAATCTGACTGGTGTTAAATACCGTCTCCAAACTAATTTATAATAATTTTCTTTTATTCTTATAGACGACATTTTCAAGCATTAGCTTTCTTTTGCTGCTGCATCACCCTGTTGACTCAGAGACTTCAGATAGGTGCTGCAGCCCAAGGCAATTCACTTAGGGGAACGGCCATAGCTCAGTGGTAGAGCATTTGCCTTGCATGCCAAGGGTCTCAGGTAAAATTCCTGGCTTCTCCAGGTAGGGCTGGGAATGTCCCTTGCCTGAAACCCTGACGAGTCTCTGCTAGTCAATGTAGACAGTACTGAGCTTGGTGGACCAATGTATGGTATAAGTAGCATCTACTTGTAGTCAACGTAGTCTAGGTTCATCTCAGACTTCACTGCTGCAACAGGGTCCCCATTCAGGGGACCATCCATAACTGATCAAGGACTGCAAAGTGGTGACCTCCCAGATGAAGATGTGCTCCCAACTCCCCCAGCAGACACGACAGGAAAAGGTGAAGTCTTTCGGCCTGCTATAACAAGGGTGTTTCTGAACCTTAAATTGAAGCTCATGAAACAAAAAAATAATATTTAGAATATACTGGACCCCATTACATTTGTTTAAAAAAAGGGGCTATCTAAGGTATCTAACTGTTGGATATGCAAGAGGGATAATGCTTCTCTAAAACATGTTTTTTCATTGTCCTATGTTGAAAGATTTTTGGCAGAAGGTAACTGAAACCATCAACGGAACAACCTTACATTTACAGAGCAAAATATCCTCTTGAATTATATACCCAGCACATGGAACCTCACAAAAGGACAATATGAGTGGACTATCCGTGCCCTGACCACAGCAAAAAGACTGATACTGATGAATTGGAAAAATAAAAATGCGGCTCCCTTCTACGATTGGATTGAAGGCTTATACAAGCTCGCAACGTATCAACAACTTGCATATAAATGCAGACTTGCCATAGACAAATTCAATGATATTTGGAATCCATTCTTACAAATACCGTAATAGGTTGAGATCTGGCGAAGTACAATAACAACTTTGTAAAGTATACAGTTTGGGGTTTCCCCCCTCCCCCCTTTATTTTCCTTTCTACACGGATTCTATTTCTCTTTCCCTCTTTTACTTACGTCTCACAATGTTTAGTGCACATATAATTACAGTGGTGCCTCGCAAGACGAAATTAATCCGTTCCGCGAGTCTCTTCGTCTTGCGGTTTTTTTCGTCTTGCGAAGCACGGCTATTAGCGGCTTAGCGGCTATTAGCGGCTTAGCGGCTTTAAGAAAAAGGAAACAAACTT